TGCCATTGCCTTTTTTTATGGCGTTTTTATGTTTAACCATTATAAAATGAAACAACTTTCCTAAATAAACCGATAAACTTAACTTTTTCATAGTAACTATAAGAAATAAATTTTTATAACCAAACCATGTTAAATACAGACTCAAATTTTATCACAATCATATACACTAACTAATTATAAAATAATGTTATCCGTGATAGAAAAGAGCAGCACCCAATCATACATCCTATCATGGATAAAAGAACTTTTTTTAACTCATTCAAATACAAACTTTGTAAGAAAGGAGCAATCTCGTCTAATATGGTTATAAGACAACATACAATATAGCTCATAAATTGAAACAGTAAGAATTAAATCTTAATTCATATTTTATAATAAATTCATAAACAAATCACACGCAATCCTAGGCCTCTGGCTAACTACTAGCACTCATACCACAACAGTACAAATCAAAGTGCATAAAACATAATAATGCATGAATCAATTAAATATAGTTTATCTTAAGGTGACAATATATAGAAAACAATATAACTCATAAATCGAGGAGACACTATGAGTTTACTCCTCTTGAGCCTTCCCTGATATTCCTCCTCTAAAGCTTTCAATTGAAAAATATTAAACAATAAGGATGAAACAACATCTCAGTAACTAAATTCCTACCTATCACACACACTAGCATGGGCTAGCAAGGTGTCATGTGGGATACAGAGAGTCAGTAATAGTCAATAGACATTTATTTAACAATTAAACTCACAATAACATATATGTCAAATATTTTTGCTAATCTCATGTAGCTGATAATTTCAAAAGAGATAACATAATTTTTATTTATTCAAAAGATATAAATATCAAATGAAGATTTCATGTCATATGCAATCTATAGACCCTAAATCCATCCTTATATCCTTTTTATTTCTGCCGACTGGACCCATAGGCTAAATTCTTTCCATTTGACTAGCTACTTTGACAAGCTCACGACATGAATAATATGGACCGGCCAAAGACCACAAAGCACTCAGTAGACCATGAGTCCCCCCTCAAAGAACTAGTAGGGTGTTATAGTCCCTTGAAAAACCAGTGCGACAATAATAGTGGCCAACCATAGAGCTTTGTATGGAGGCCAATACCACGTGACATGTATATATCTGTATACTTCATCATCTCCTCCCCCAACCAAACCAAATGCATAGGGTTCACAATAACAAATTTATATGCATAATCAAATGAATTCCAGAATAATATCTCATAGTCATAGTCATTAATTTCTAACAATACAAAGATTTCAATGCTTTTCAAAATAGCATCTCACAAGACAGCTCATACAAAACATAATATACTTATACAAAAATTGGTTATAAAACTATTCACCAACTTCATACCAGAGCATACAATAGATAGAAATTTAGATACCTAAGCTCCTAACTAGCAGTCAAGTACAAATGAGGGTCGTACTCAAAAATACCACAATAGTATTTATATCTAGAATTGAAATTAAAACATTGTCTCTACGGTAGTAGAGTAAACTATTCACAAATTTCTATCCTTTAACTCTCCCTTTAATACCTTCAATTGTTACTCTAAATTCTAGCTCGAAAGGCTTTTGTCTAAAGTTTGGGATAAGAACATATATATGAGGATTTATATTCAATTCCTAGGTTCCCTTAACTTATATTATCTTTAATTATTGAATTATATCATTTGAATCACCAAATTCATAACCTAGATAGAGAACCCTCAATTTATAGCTTATGTTCTATCTTCAAAAAATTTAGGCAAACAACCTCAAAATGAGTCAATTTATTCTTGCTGTAGAAGTCTAATTATTAATCCAATCGCTGAATTTAATATCTTACATGTCACAAGTCTACTCTCTAAATTTCAATTTCAGGTTAATCCAACAATGAACGAATTTAAAAACGCTAATGTATTATCTAGTATTCTATCTACCAAATCTAAAAAAATAAATTAATTAAAAATGTAATAATAACCTATAACTCAGAGATTGAATTGTTGATCCAACCATTGAAATTGACGAGTATGAGGTCCAGGACCAGCTAACCAAATTGCAGCCTGATCTAACAGTTCACGAACTCATAAACAGCACTTTATCGAGACTATCGCAGTTTTGTGTGAAAATTATTTGACTTACTCTTAACTCTCCTCTACTACCACCTATATATAGCCCCCAAGAGTTCCATTTACCCATCATTTAATCAATGTGGGACTTTTCAACATTGTTATTTTATCTATCTTCCTATCATTTAGTCAATATAGGACTTCTTAACACTGTTATTTTATTCATTTTCTCATACACACACACACATATGATCATAATTAATTTAAGAGTAAAATACCCTGGCTACATTCCTAATTTGCATCAATTACACAGACCTCCCTTTTATTTTAAAAATATATAGTTTAATCCAATAAGTTAACACCATTAGGAATATTCTAAAAAGATTATAAAAACATTCTTTTTAACTGAAATTTATATTAAAATAAATTTTACTTACTATTTTACCCTTCCTTCTACTAAATTTCAAAATTATATTTTTACAGTTACATAAATTTCATTCATTTAAGGTAAACATAAAATACATGATTAAAAATTTAACTAATTTTTTAAATAAATATATATATACTTTGAATAAACATGTTTATGAATTTTTGTAATAAAGATGTGTTTAAAAATTTTGAATTCTAAATTTAAATAATTTATAAAATCTTTTAAACTTATATTATTTAAACTCTACGATAAACAAAAACTATGTATTTGAAATATGTTTTTACAATTTAAAAGAAATCAAAGTAAATAATTTCTAATGAATGTGATAAAATATTAAAATTTAAAAATTTTATGATTTAGATCAAAATTAATAAATTTTATAAGATATTAGAAATTTTAAAAATATATGCATTAGAATTATTTTTGATTTTATAAAAAAAAAATTTTTAAGAAAATATAAATTTCTAAATAATTATTAAGTTAAAAAGGGGCATTTTGATAAAAAAAATAATTTAAATTTAAACTTAATGGTTAACTAATGGTTTGGGTGGATAGAAATTGAATATTAAATATAGGAGGAAGGTATGTGTAACATACATTTTAATTGTAAGGGAGACTTATATATGTTTTCAAAATAGAGGGAAGATTTTTATAATTGAGATAAAATAGAAAGATGGTCGATGCATTTTACTCTTAATTTAATTGCTTATATATATATTCAATCTTTTTTTCAATTGGATCATAATAAATATTTACTTAAACCTAGGGATAACAAAATTAGGATGTTACATAAAATGGCGTCGTTGAATGTATTTTTTGTAGTAGTGAAAATCGGAACCAATTTGTGAAAGGGTAATGACGTAGATGAGGAGATGATGTGACGACATGGCCAATAGGAAATAGGGACACGTGGTAGCAGCTGGTGGTGGTTGCCATCCAGGTTTTAAATTTACAAAATAAAAATTAATTGATGAAAATTTTCTACTAACTCAATTCTGTCACTAATTTGTCGCTAATTTTGATTAGCGATATAAATTTTATTGTTAATTTGATTTTTTTTTTTGGTGGTGACTGTCACATTGACTTCCTCATCATGTATTCTTGTACCATTATATTGACATTATCATTACCTTACAACATTTACATGTCCTCTTGATTCTTTGATGCATGTGTTAGTAGTGGAGAAGTATAAAACTATCAGATGTTATGGTAGAGCGATTAAGCAATTGAAATTGAGTGTGAAAAAAGACCACAAACAAGCTTGTGTGGTTATGTTGGTTTGATTCACTTTTTCCAAGCATTTGCACCATGGTACAAGCCTCTTTAAGTAATTGATGAATCGGAATGCTGCCTAGATGCTAGTTTACATTTCTTTGGGACTTTGTAACCTTGTCTTTGCATCCCTTTGCAACCTTTCTCTTTCACCTCTCTCTACTTGAGTTCTCTTTTAGATTTGCTCGAGAAAGTACAAAAATCTAAATATGAGGGTTTGATGTTTCTCATTTTTAAATGTTAAGACACTTATTATATTGAAAAAAAAAGCAGTTATTTTTGTTCCAGTAATGCATTTAAAATTGATTATACTACGATTTGACATGACTAAACCAATGAATACTAAACTATTGTCTTTCTCAAATAAATTGCAAATATATTCTTCAAAGTAAGTTAAAATTAATTAAGGACAATACATATATTAAAAATATAATTTATTTTATAAAAAGCACCTCAAGGGAAAGAATGAGCGAGTTATAATAATTAATGCAGTGAACAAAACAAATAATTAATATGGGCAAAAGAATAGAAAAATTATACTCAATCTCAAAATTTAAAGATAATGTGCCTCCTCTCCATTTCCATCAGCTTCTCATTTCAATTAGAAGATTAAAATTTTAACAGTCCAGATTTCATATTTATCAAATGATAAATAAAGTGTTAAATTTTTTTAAAAACTTGTTGGCAATTTTTTTTCAAAAAAAAAAAAATAAAACTACTAAACTTCAGCCAGGATGACTCAAAAAAATTATTTTAAAAAATATGAAATCTAAACGGTTAAAATTTTTAAAATTTTAATCTTAATAGTTGAGATGGGAAGTGAATAAAAATAGAAAGAAAGGAAAGTGGAGACACGCCTTTCCTGAAAGAGACATCTTAAAACAATCCTCTATATATAAGGGACCCCAGGAATCATATGGCCTCAATATATGCCACAGCCAAATCAAATCTAGAAAAGCATTTAAAAAAAAAACACCCAGAGAATTAAAAGTATGAGACATAAGTTTCCCACCACTCGTTGGATGTAATTGTTTACACCCAAAAAGATGGAATTTAATACTTTAAATGAACAGCAATTAGATTCATAGAATATAAAGCAATTACCTTATAACTACTTTTCTAGAAATTCAACAGAGAAAGACATTTTTATAATCTATATATATACGCGCGCACGCGCACACATATATATCTCAAAATCCTACTACAAACCTGTAAACTAAGCTTAATTCTGGCTAAGTAAACCTGTTATAATCACAATGATTAAAGCAGTATCCTCCAGATTCTTATTATTCTTCGGAATAGACGATGGATCAGCACTAGGTGGCTTCGAATCACATTCTTGAGCATCCACGATGACATAATTCGCGCCAGAGTTCATGCCACTGTAATCTCCAGAATCCAAGGCCTTTGAAGCATCTTGGAGACGAGTAAGAACATCATCGTACGCTATGGCACACGTTATATAACGTTGTCTCATCTGAGGATCAGTTGTGTTGGCGATGAGAGAGTGAAGATCAGTGATGGTTTGGAAGGCATGGAGGTGAGCTACGTCCATGGTGGCGTAATGGCCTAGGGTTTGCAGGTCTGAACCAGATTTAGGATTTAGGGTTTCAGTACAGAAAGCAGGGTTTGTGTGTTTCGAACAGATTTCTTGTACTGGGACAGTTCTTGTGGAGTAGGAGGGCAGTGGGAGGCACAGAAAGGTTAGAAGAAAAAGGAGAGCGATGATAACTGCCATGGGGAAAGAAGAAGAAGAATGGAGTTTAATAATGGAGGAAAGAGTCGCCATAGCTTTGAGATATCTTTGTTTCTCTCATGAATCATCTACCTTTATAGAGAGAGATATTAGTACGATGCAGATACGGTATATATGCAAATTTAATTGGAAGATTTGGACAGTAATTAGGACAAATTTTTTTTTTTTAATGGTAATTTCTTCTGATCTACTGTAATTTCTTGTGCCTCAAGGAATAAGACTGAATTTCTTCCTAGTAGTTATTGCATTCTCATATAGCATTTATTACAAGGAGAAGTAAATGTTCTTAAATGCTAGTCCATTTGAATTATCTATTATTGTTGCAAGCAATGTTGACAACATTAGACAATTTACTAAGATAGTTAAGACACTATGTAACAATTCAATGCTTCCTCTGACCTTTATTATAAGTCAAATAACTGATTTGTGCATAACAAAAATTTAGTTAAAATTCATTAAAAAGAATATATAAGTAAGTAAGAAATATATTTTTGTTTACATATATACTCTGAGAAAAAAAAGATGAAAAAGAATATATGAAAAATAAATGTAATGAGAGAGATTGTGACATAAGAAAGAGAATACTATCTTAATGAGAGAGATTGTGACAAAAGAAAGAGAATACTATCTCTGGTTCTTAGTATAAGAGTTAATTTGATATTTAATTTGATTCTAAATATAAGATACCAATCTACTTTATCTCTCATATTTATTTATTTTTTTAAAGTAGTTTTTGTAGTAGTTTCATATGTTAAATATTCTATCAAGTGGTAGTTCTAATTAATATACATGATTAGTAAGAGTGTTCTAAGGAAAATAACATATATTTATTATAAATAACTAACTTAACAAACTTTCTTAATCTACTCAAATTAGTCAACTAACTCTTATATTGAGGACCGGAGGGAGTAGATAATTAAGAGTGAAATTGAAAAAAAAAATTAAATATTGAGACTAATCCAAATTGAAGTTTATAAAATGAATCACATGCCCTAAATCTAAAGGTTATAAATAAGATTGGAGGAAGTATTGAAAATGGTTCTCCTATATTTATAAGCCACATGTACCCGAGGCTCCCAAATCAACAAAATGCATTAAATTGATAATTTTTTTAAAATTTGCCCTTTTTAAAGAAAGGATATTAAAAATGTTTTTTACATTTTCTCTCACTGATTTACTTTATCTCTCTCTCTCTCTCTACATTTACTAAGTTAATAGGATAAAACCGAAAAAAGCTCATTAATTACCCTACAAGAAACTTATATTTAAAAACAAATATTTTTCTTACAAGTGACTTATAATATATAAATAGGAACAAAGTGATAATTGTTAAACTAATTAATGTATTGTAAAGTCTTATCTTTCTTAGATAAACAATAAAATTAAAATTAAAAATCTAAAGAATAATTAAAGTAAAATAGTAACAACAAAAAAGATGAGTATTTGAGAAATTAAAAGGTAAATAAAATGATATTGTTAATTTTTTTTACCTTGAAATAATATTGTTAATTTAACGCATAAAAGGAACACATTACACTGCATCAAAATTGCCTTTAAGATTTTAATGGCGCTTTTAATACTTTATATAGTAAATTGCTGCGTATTGATGACGAAGCATATCAAGATATCATTTATATATATTTATTAATTCCTTAATTTTCGTGCAATAATCATTAAAAAACAAGTATAATGTAATGAAGGGAACAATTATACCACATCACTTTTTATCATCATTATATCATAATCAATCCACGGATCCTATTTATAAGTCAGAAAAATAAGATTTTTTTGGTTCTATTTATTAAAAAAAATCTTTAATTTTTTTTATATAAATACATAATTTTACCCTTCATTTATAAATAACACCAATGAGGCAATTGAATTTAGAAAATGGAATGGAGATATAATCATTCTCATGCAAATTAAATTGATTCGTATGGATTTGAAATCATAAATGTCCGATTTGTACACATTTTATTTAAACATATAAATAATGTGTACAAGACTTTAAATCTGACATAAAAGTTTTGCATATTTGTTTTTCATTACTCACATAAAAGTTTTCTTTACCAAAATATGCAATTTGTTTTTCGCCATCCACTCTTCAATTTCTAAATCTGACGAGACTTTAAATGTTATAAATTTTTTTGTTTAATTAATTTTATTCTATTTGTCTACTCTACTTTATAACATATCTAAATTTTTATATTAGATATTATCATATTCTAAATATTTTTCAGTTTTATAATTAAGTACTAAAATAATTTGAGTGTGAGAGAGGCAAATTTAGTTAAAAAAATTTGAACATTAATGGCAATAGATTCAACGGATTTTTATTTTTTCTGAGTTAACTTGTGCTTCAAGTGAGACTAAAATTTCTTCCTCTTCAACAAGATTTCAATTGAATGAATAGTCAACAAAAATATACTTCCTTATTTTCATTTATAAGATGGAGAGAAAATATTTTTTTTGTTCCATTTATAAATCATATAATTAAATTTCTTACACAAATGTATCATTTTATTCTTTATTTATTATGGTTATGCATTAAAGCTAAGAAATATTGAAGCGAAAAAAGAAGAAGAAAGAAGAAATTAACTAGAGGCTATCAGTCAAAATTTATATTAATATATTCTAATTATGTAGTAAATATCTTAGTAAAATATAAGAATCACAGTTATAATATAAAGATAAATTTTTAATAAAATTAATAATAAGACTAAAGACTTAAAGTGGCAAAATATAACTGATTTTGAATATTCAATTCATTTTTCACGCTTGTCACTAAATCTACAGAGATCATTTAGCTCGATTAAAGTTTCCTCTATGTCCCATGCAATTAGATGAGATTTCTTTTGGTCATTATATCCATTTCAAAGATAGAATCGAGAAGTCCTTTCAATTTGTCATTAATAAAAATTTTTGGGAAAAAAACTGTGAGAGAATGGCCAATAAGAAAAATATTTAATTAAGACTAATGCACACCTAATTACCTAGCCGAAATACAAGAAAAGGATGATTAAATCATTTATTTTGTTTAAAAATGAAATAATTTTTCAAATTTGCTTTTATTGGATTAAGATACTTCCTCTAGTCCGAGAAGAACGTTTCCATTTTTTTATGAAGTTTCTATTTCCATGCTTCCTCCATAAACTTTACTGTGTCTAAAAATGAATGCCAGAACTTGTGACATATTACCTTTGTACTATAAGCTTGAAGTGTACAGACTACCTCCCCTCTCAATTGGATTTATTTGAATTAATATTCGTAAAACTGACTTTTTGTAAATTAAAGTTATTTAAATAAAAAGTTAATTAGTGCATGCTATTTATATTTGGATAGAATTTTATAAAAAAGTCCTATTAGCCAAAAATTGTTTGTATGAATCAGTTTTAGAAGGTTCAAATTTAAAAAAAAAAAAACACTCAAAGTCAAAAAGTTAAAAAAGTTAATCAGCTCTAACTTCACTTTTGGTCTAAAAAGCTTAAGCCATGTTTCTTTTTTCTTTTTTTTTTTGGTTTTGAAAACAGTTTTTTTTCCAAAAAAAAACAGCATAAAAAACTGTTTCGTAATTTTTTTAGTCAAGTGTTTTTTTTTAAAAAAAAACAGAAATATGTTTTTAAAAACTAAAACAGTTTTTACTTTTTTTTATTTTTGTTTTTTTAAAAATGGGAACTCTTTCTTTTCTGCTCGATGGATTTTTATCTATCAAGTTTTTATCAAAGATTTACCCTCAAGTATCAGTATGTTTATTTTTAATTGTAGTTTTTTAGAACAATTACCAAATAAATTTTTCTTGTTTTTTGTTTCCAAAACTTATTTTAAAAAACAATTTTAGAAAATTCTTTTAATAATTAAAAAACAAAAATAGAAACAAATATACCCTTATTTTGTAACAAGTTGGGCTAAAGCAATTTTTTAAGGTAGAGAAGTCAGTTTGCCAAATGGAGCATAAAAGACAGAGCAGCTTATGGCCTTATCCAATCCCCTAGTCTAGTGCGGTCGAAAATTTCATATTGATTTATTATACTGGCTTTGTGCCTAATTATAAGGAGCAACTGTTAAAGATGCGGAGTCCCTGTTCACAAGGCACGCTATAAAGTTATAGGATCGGAATCAATTGAAGAAATTTTCCTAAAGTTCCTATAATGTATTGTTAAAATGACATTTAGTTGAACAACACTTGAAAGTTTAAGACATCATATATGTCACATCCAGTAATATGGCAATTAGGAATAAGAATATTTCTAAATATTTAAAGGCAAAAAATGACAAGGAGAAATAGAAGAATTTTGGTGGAAAATAATTATTATAATTTTTCAAGCCAATTATGAAAAGTTTGACTAATTAAGGAAAATTGGTCAAGAATAATTATGGAAAAATAATTCTGAGTCTCAGAAAATTAAGAAAAAATAAGAAAAATGTTTCTTGAGAATTATATGGGATTATAAAATTGGTTTTATGACCAATTTGCCCCTAGAGAGATTACAAAGGAATTTAAGGGCAATTTAAGCCAATTTAAGGTCTTTATTTGGAAAATTCCAAATAAATATATTTAAGGGGAATAAAATTCCAAGAAAATTTCTATGATATCCCAAGGAATTATAAGAGATTATGAAATTAAAAGAAGACTCTCAAGTATCCAAGATTTTTTCCAATTCCTCAGAAAAGTGGAAAAATCACTAAAGAGAAGGAAATTAGTTTTCCATTTTATTTAATTATTGAAAAATTTAATTTGAGACGAAGAGGGAAATTTGGGAAGATAAAAATGAGGAGAATAATTTATAGATCTGATAGAAAATAATTACAAGGGCCAGAGTACTGTAATTATAGAAAAGAAGTTAAACCCAGAGTAAAAGTGCACTGATAAAGCAAGAAGCAGAGTCTTGCACTTTACTTGGCCTACAAGTTGCCACTTGTCAAGCCTTTAATGGATAGTAATTAAAGCTTTCCAAGTGTCAAACTACCAATGGAGAGGATCTTGACTTTTGAAATTAATTTCAATTGTCATTAAGTTAATTAAAGGGAAAATG